TGGGTTTTATTATTTTGTGTGTGCTTTGACCACCAGGGAAGAGTTCCCTGTCCAGTGTGGAAGTTAATCCTATATTTTAATTGTGTGGAATTCTCATGCGGGAGAAATCTTTTAGTTTTGCGTTTTGTACAGCAAACTCATTGCTGTCGCAACCAGTAGTGTGCGGGAGAAATCTTTGTTATTAGTGTGTTAAAACATTATTCGATGTTGAACTGTGAACTAGTGAATAATAGAGTGATAAACTAATGTGAAACCAAAATTGCTGAAGGGACGGAGTGCCACACGAGCTGGTGTCCGGGTGCAGTAAGTCTAGTATCTAAATCCCACTCCAAATGTCTTCCTCAAAACCTGATACCTTTTTTCCTGTCAAAAACTAGACTTACAAGGAAACGGCGGCGTCATAATTCGCACGGTAAGCAATTCGCTGCTAGGTCCTGTTTAAGTAGACTTTGGAAACAAGAATTTCTCGGCCGGAAACTTTCCGGAACAAAAATTCTCTCATTAAATTTATTTTATTTAGCTATAGTAAAGAGCACTACGAATCGTAGTCAAATGTTGTTCCGAGGCTGATCGACCATTTAGTTTTAGATTTTAAGATAACTTTAATTTGCTTCCACTGCGCTAAGATCAGCTTCGGAATCAAACAAATGTCGTACCCGTTTAGTGTGACTGACCGTACAAGCTGACAAACAGCTGACTCACAGATTGTTGACAGAAATAACCTGGAGTGTAGTCGACAACATGCAAATAACTTCCTTATTGGATACTGTACCTATCTATAACTTACGAGTGTTCAATATGGAATACTGGCTTTTCAACCAGCGGTTTCATACACTGCTAAATTATTTTTCTCCAATTTGCTCGGAAATAGCTTCATTACTTTAAAAAAAGAATACGTCAATGGGCTCATTTATGTTGTCAAGGCGCAGAGGACTGTAATAGAAATTGCCGGACTAGGCCGGTAATAAAAGGGTTCTTAAACTTCACACTTTCGTGATTAGGTGTTTTATGGAACACAATTTGTTTGAAGTTTGAAGGCTGAATGTGAATTTCCCGCGCATTCTTTATGAAACGGAACGTAAGCAAAACCAGCGCCACCGCTTTGCGAACTTTAAAAGTTACAAAGTGTCAATTTTATCACGATTTAAATATTTGTTTCCTTGCAAATTGGAGAAAAGCACTATACAAACCTCGGCCGAAATAACAATTTCTGGTCTCGTTTACTTTAGAAGGCCTCGACTTCGTCTCGGCCTTCCAATGCCACTCGACCAGAAATTGCTATATACTCGGCCTGTGACGTAATGTACTATTCCAGGCTTGATTCTTTATGAACTCCCTTAATGAGCAGAAGATGCTGTTCTTTTTTGATTCAGTCATAATGTATTATAATATTTGTCAGAATTCGACGGACGGAGAGTAGATGCCGCTGTTTATTTCTTAACACGTATTTCCTTACGCCACAATTTGGCAAACATTGAAAATGGGTTTTGCACTGTTTAAAACTAATCTTTCGGCGGCAAAAAAGTAGCATAACTATGTATTATTTCAGACCACATTTTTAACTGTGCACTTTTATAAGAGTTTCTTCAGTTATTTATCGCACAAACACACAGGACATTTCAACACCCGCTCGAGTAGGCGCCTAAACAAAGAGATAGCACGGACAGCTGATATATAGCATAGACACATTGAGTCAGGGTTTGTTTGTTTGTATAAATAAACAGACAGGCAGACAATTTACTACGCACCCGTCGAGAGTGCGCAGATCACTTCCTTATAAGTAGAGCTGATTTTACAGAGTTACTGGTGCTTGATTATGCTTATACATATTGATAAACTTGCAAATATTTGAAAATAGTAATAATTAGAAAACAAAAATTACACTTTTCTTGTACCTATGTGTAATTTTTATTTACTAATTTACTTTTCATCATATGATTTAGTTAAAGTAGGCTTCAAGCCATATGATGCAGGATTAGAATAGCATACACAATTCTACCCGTAGGTGTCGTAAAAACCGATTAAGAAAACAAAAATTGCACATTTCTTGTATGTTAAGGTTAATAAGGTTATTACAACACCTACGGATAGAATTATGAGATGCTATTCTAATCCTATCACATGGCTTAAAGCCTACTTCAACTAAACCATATGACGTATACTGAAAGTACTGAATCCACAAGCTGAATCAACAAACTTATAACCGATTTCCGCGAAAGAATCGAGTGTTTATGTGGATTTGCAAATCGAATCACCGATCAGTTCCAGTCATATGCGTAAATGCGTAGGCGCGAGTGAGGAGTGATGAGTAATCCTTTGCAGACGTGCGGCTGATTAACTCACGAGTATAAGTATGCAGAGGAATAGGTAACTAAATAAACACATATCACACCTATATCCCTTGTGGGGTAGGTTGAGTGTATCACCGATTAGTTCCAGTCATATGCGTAAATGCGTAGGCGCGAGTGAGGAGTGATGAGTAATCCTTCGCAGACGTGCGGCTGATTGACTCACAACTCACAGTGTAGTATGCAGAGTAATAGGTAATTACATACTTGGCTAGAATTGCTGCTAAAACAATTCTTGTACTTCTTCTTTTTTCATGTGGGACACCGGGTCGTCCAACGACCCGATGAACCCTGGTGTTAGAGTTTTTCAACCGCCTTCTACTAGTAGCAGGCCTCTCGACATAGTTGGGTAACGACCGCCGTCTAAGTAATCACAGACAGCAACGTTACCGGGACCGGCGGCTTAACGTGCCCTCCGAAACACTTGGCGGTAGTTACACGATGACGTGAATACACTTTGACTAGGATGTACTGACTGATTAAGTTAATAAAATTACGTGATTTGATTAAGTTGTAGAACTTTTATGGAAAGCTTTATCAGTCGATATCACACTTGACCGATTAGGTATATTCTAGTCTAGTAACTAAAATCTGATTGCTTACAAAATTATAATAAAAAGAATATTGTAAACACCAATCAAATATGTATATCTATCAGATAGTGGCATTCAAATCAAAATATCATGTAAACTAGTATGTTTGATTTTGTAGAACATTTTAGTTTCACTTTAATGCAATAGACGCAAGTGGAATACTAAAGCTGCTATTCCGAACACTGCAGCCAACAGCCGACAGCCGACAGCATATGCTGCAACGGCTGCAGCTATTGGCAGTTGCAGCACATGCTGTTGGCAGTTGCAGCACATGCGATTCCGAAGATACCGGCCGACAGCCGACAGCCGACAGCACATGCCGTGACTGCCGATAGTTGCATGTAGACTTAGGTAGATATTATAGGTACCTACAGGTAATAGGTACCTACATACATACATAAATCACGCCTTAAACCCTTGTGGGGTAGGCAGGGCTTATACGGCCGTAAAAATACGTTCGTTATTGCAACGTCTAACAAATTATTTGAGGGCCGTTTTAGCTATTGTCGTGTATCACTATAGTGACAGGTTGTCAGCTTGTCGCCTAAAATTGCAATACACATGTTACCTTCAAGACCCATAGTCGCTGCTTACGACACCCACAGGAAAACGGGGTGATGTAATTCTAAGCTAGCATCACACGGCAGAGTAGCAGGTAGGTACATAGGTAGCTATAATAGGTACCTACAGGTAACTCACGCGGTATCCCTTTCGTAGGCATAATTTTTTTCCACTAATATGTTTTAGCATAACATGGTTCGCATAATTTTTTTTCGCCTACCATTGCTTTGACATAATAGTTTCTTGCCATAATATTTATCTTGGCATAATCATATTTTAGACTATTGTATTTTATACTAACAATATTTCGGCATAATTGCTTTTGTAATAATTTTTTTGGACTAATATAATATATTTTTTATTAAGTTCAAATGGCAGGAAATGTAAGTCAGTTTTGGTTTATGGTTTTGTATTTTAGGCCTATGTACTATTATGGCAATATTTTTTGTACGTAAAGAAATTATGCCTAAACTGTTATGCGTACATGAATTATGCGTAAGTATTATTAGTTTAAATTACAGTGTGCCAAAATATATTATGCCAATTATTTTTATGCAAATGGATAGAGAACCAACTCACGCACGAACTGTAAGTACTTGGTTGGTACAATTCAGTGTACCGCAACTCGAACCTAGGTAGGTACCTTTGAAATTACCTCTGTGTGGTTTCGTTTTTTAATAATTATGATAGTTAATTACTTCATAATTATTTCTGAACCACACATTTTACGTTTTATAGCAAAATAGCAAAAATAGATACGTGCGTATCGCACTGCTGTTGCAGCAATACTGATCTGCAGTCACGGCAGTTGCGGCATATGCTGCAGCGGCCGACAGCATGTGCTGTTGGCTGCAGCCTTCGGATAGCGTTCCATAGAACTCCATACAAACCAGTAGTGCTGCAACGGCTGCAACTGCCGTTGCAGCATATGCTGTTGGCTGTCGGCTGTTGGCTGCAGTGTTCGGAATACCACCTTAAATCTTGCTTGTCGGATTTACAAGTATTGCAAACTACGTTTTGAAACTGATTTCGATAACGTTTTGACACGAAGGTGGGCTTAAAAGAAGCGAGAAATTAATATTTCACGCACAGATTTAATGCAATACCATTTCATCTTACACAATTTAGTTATTTCAAAAATCCATGGTTTATAATTCAAATCTTATGGTTATGGTCGCCGTTGTTCAAATAACAAAAACTAATCATTTTCTGGCGGATATAACACTCAGAGCAGGGTCCTTCGGGTCGTTGGTCGACTCCGTATTCCACGACCTGCCAAGACAAAGATAATTAATGATTGCATCTGCTGCTGTGTCGTGTCATCCACTGCCAATTTGGACTTAACAGGTTAACAAGTAAAACGTTTATAACAATGCAATCATTAAAGGGTCATGTAATTATCAGTAATTTCATTTTCATTATCTTTAGGATAGTTAGGGTTTAGGGCTGCCTATGTTCCAAAACGTGCTCTATGTTACGGCCGATGTGGAGCAGTGACGCCCAATGTGGTGCAGTGGTAGCGCCACTACCTGCGACGCAGAAAGTTCCGGGTTCAATTCTCGGTGGGTCAGTCAGTCACAAAGTTGATATTTATCACTTTGTGAATTTGTTCCCAGTCTGGGAAGGACAGGACATTGCAGACCGAACCACCTGATGATTGTCCGAAAGGAGAAATGACCGTGCTTCGGAGGGCAGGTTAAGCCGTCGGTCTCGGTTGCTGTCTATGATGGTCGTTGCACTACTATAGAATAATAATAGACCATACTTTACAGTACCTTTGACTGCTATCAGCCCTAAGTAAGACAACAGACAATCAGCAATCAAACTGCCTCATTAAAAGGCTCTACTATCATTGAAACTATTAATAACTAATTGCGTCATACTTTGCATTATAATTATAAACGTAATAGGCAAGGAGTGGCGTCTGTCTTTGGCGCAGGAGTTAACTTCAAGTACTTTCATGTTATCTATACGTCATTTAACACAGCGTCTCCTATGTTGCAGTGTGATGCCGGCTTAGAATAGCATCACCCCATATCATTCCCGTGGGTGTCGTAAGAAGCGACTAAGGGATTTGAGAGTTGATGTGTATTGCAATTTAGGTGACAGGCTGACAGCCTGTCACTATGGTGATACACAGTCTTCTGAATGACTACCAAACTATTGTCAGACGTGGTGTACAGCTCTGCCTACCCCGCAAGGGATATAGGCGTGATATAAGTGTGTATGTAACACTCTATTCCACATTTTACACAGCAACTCCTACGTAACATAAGGAAAGTAGCTGCAGTGGAATAAATATATCCTACATGCGTACGTGTAGACCGCAAGCCCTAAGTGTAGCCCTAAGTGTAGACCGCAGCGAGGTAGGAACTGTTTAATCATATTTCTGGTAAAACATAACAACATATTCTACGTATTACTACTACTACACTATTTTGACTCTAATAGAACAGGACCAAATCTTTATAATTTTAGGCATTCTTTTCATTTTTATGAATTACCAAAAGCAATCGTTTTTGTTTGCTTACCTTAGAAATATCTTCTGCCAGTATCGAGTCAGTCAGTTCAGTAGTAAATTAAACTGTTAACTGTTTTAACTTTGGGTCCACATTATGTTTCAAAACACTTAGCGGTTCTGTTCGCTTCTCTAATACTATAGTTTACGGTAGTAACTAGACTACATAATAGTCGTTACTATTTGAAAGTATATAAACAGCACGATGCAGTTTTGCAACCCCGTTTTGCACTTTCCCTTCGAGATGCAAGTCTTTTGTGTCTGAGATGGATGGCTGCCTTTCAAATTGTATGCTTACTAAGCTTTGTATAGTATAAATATAGAGTAAGCTAATAGATAAAGACGTGTTTGTTTGTGTTGTCGTGTAAATAGTAACTAGTAATTTGTTTTCCTTTGTGCAGCTTGACTGAGCCGTGTGAACCTAACCAAACTTACTTCTTACTCAGTTGCCAACTTACGTACAAATTCGTTATCAGATTACACCTACTTAGTTAAAAAAAGCCATGGTTTCGTTTTGTGTTAGCTGTTTTAGCTGACTTTAAAAGGCAGTCAACAAATTCCTTAGGTTTTATATCTAGAATGAAGTTCTCATTTAAAATACATGTTTAGTTTTATGCTAGTATACTTTATTAATTCAACCAAAAGTGTACCACCCGCATCAAAAGTAGGCGAATTACAAATTGCACTAGATTGGTCGTAAGCAGGATGTGGTTGGGTTAGGTTGTCCATTGCAATTCGACCCCACAGCTTCTGATCTGCACATTTGCCTGTTCGTTTCAATATGGGAATAAATTTACTGCATTTTCCACAGCGTTTTTTTATTAGCAGGGTGTGTCTATCTAGCACTCTATAATGGTTCCCGTACCGTACCATAACATTGTATTGAAATATCTAAACACTTGTACCTACTTCTAGTGGTCATCGTCTGTCCCACAAGATACGAAAAATAATAAAACTCCACACTTGGAAACATACCTACTAAAGACATACTTCAATCGAATCACGGTTTCCCCTACATTGACACCCATTATTTTGTGCTACTGTACCGATGCTGATGGATGATGATTGCACGCAGTGAGTTGCAAAATGCCGTGTTCAGCGAATGTCATCATTGCCATCGTCACGCTGTTGTGATTGTGACAATAACACGCGTGTCACAATAAAACAGATTTTGTCACAATTGGGATGTTGTCAGCTGTTACATAAAAGGAAAATGCGTTACGGTAGCGTAAGGCGCAATTTAGATTGGAAAATGTAGGGTAATTGGTTATGGGGACGGTGTTGCCTAAGGTAGCAAGCAATAAGCATGGTCCTACGCACAGGTTTTTAACAAAAATAAAAACTAACTGAAAATATTTGTAACTCGATCTATTTCTTTGCTTTTTTGCGTGGGACACCGAGTAAGAATACTACCCAATTATCTCTCGATTCAGACTTTTTAAACCGTCTATGCTACAGCGAATTAGTATGTGACAATCACCATCTAAGTATATAACGTAGACAGAGACAGCAATCAAAAAAGATGAAATAGTTGATCAACTGCCTGCCAATACCAAACGCTGGAGAAATAAAATAACTGACAATACTGTCACCAACATATACGACACATCCGAAATAGCCAGACAGATTCCATGGCAAAACGAAGAGAATTCTCCATGGGACGGGATGTCTAGTGCAGACAGTCTGTCCAATTTCAATAAGTGTACTTCGGTTTTGTACAGAAATAGAAAATGTGAACTATATCTGAAGTATCATAGATCGTTCCATTCCGAGTAAAACTGTAGGTAAAGTACATTATGAGAACAAATCGTTTCAAGGCTTTCCATGTCTGGAAGAAACTGTTATTTTGTAAAATATAAAACAAATAATCGTTACTTTTCTTTACAACGGTTGTTATAGGTAGATGATACTGACTTTAGGAGCAAACATATATGAATAAGTAGTAGTTTGGTAGTAGGCTTGCACTGCACAGACACTTTGTCATGTTACAAAAAGTCTAAATAAACACACCATATCCACGAATGATATCCTACCGAACGCAGCAACAAAAACCGGCCATACATAATTAACCCGGTCAATATCGACATCAAACATTGCAAACGCGCATGTAACTACGATTTTGTTATATATTGTTAGGTTCCTTGAGAGTAGTTAACACCCAAGTTTGCAACACTGAAAACCCTGTGCTGCCAATGTCAACGTCAAATCAAAATTTGTTCAGAAGTTTTTGCGTTTGTATCTCATGAACCGTGATAGCTAGAGAGTTGAAATTTTTACAGGTGATGTATGTCTATTGCTGCTATAACAACAAATACTAAAAACCAGAATACAATAAATATTAAGGGGGGCTCCCATACAAGAAACGTGATTTTTGCTCGTTTTTGTGGATAATGTTTCGAAGGCTGTTTCTCGTGAACCGTGATAGTTAGATGGTTGAAATTTTCACAGATGATGTATGTCTATTACCACTATTACAACAAATACCAAAAACTAGTCAAGTACGAGTGGGGCAACAGATATGATATTTCTGTCATTTTTATAAATGATGGTACGGAATCCTTTGTGCGCGAGTACGACTCGCACTTGGCCAGTTTTTTTGTATTTGTTGTTATAGCAGCAATAAACATACATCATCTGTGAAAATTTAAAAGATCTAACTGTCACGGTTCATGAGAAACAGCCTCCGAAACACTATTTACAAAAACCAACAAAAAAACACGTTTCTTGTATGGGAGCCCCCCTTACTATTTATTGTATTCTGGTTTTTAGTATTTTTTGTAATAGCGGCAACAGAAATACATCACCTGTGAAAATTTCAACTCTCTTGCTATCACGGTTCATGAGATACACGCGAAAAAACTACTGAACGGATTTTGATATGCATCATCTGCGAAAATTTCAACTCTGTAGCTATCACGATTCATGAGATACAGCCTGGTGACAGACGGATGGACGAACAGACAGCAAAGTCTAGTAATAGGGTCCCGTTTTTTACCCTATTGGGTACGGAACCTTAAAAACTGGCTTAGTGCAAGTCGGACAACATAATATGATTTTTTGAAAAAAAAAAAGTAACAAGAGCTGTTACATCGGAAATTCTGTAATTTCACAGCTTTCTTAGCACTGCGGAAGAATTGCCCATCTTTGACTTGCTGTATCTTTGCAACCAAAAGACATAGTGTGCTCAGGTTTCCCTGAAATTGTAGCAAATTTAGTTATCTTTAATAAAGTTCTATGAAACGTACTTAAAAAAATCTTCGTTATGGTAGATTTTTATAAAACACTGAAATATGGGCCAAAATTTCGCAGTTTATTGAGCACCGTGGAGGCAGCACAAGGTTTTCAGTGTTGCAAACTTGGGTATTAACTACTCTCAAGGGACCTTACAACATAAAAAAAAATCGTAGTTACATGCGCGTTTGCAATGTTTATTTATTTTTATGTCGATATTGACGGGGCTAAATGTATGCCTTGCCCTTTTCATTGGTCATACATAATGTATGCACAGCACTGCACATGCACTGGTGCAGTGACAAAGGGGTCGACAGCAGGACACCCCGGTCTGGGAGCCACATGTGATGACGTCACTCTCAGCTGGGCAGAGACGATGATTGAAGAAAGAGATTGAAAATAACGAGGCCAAGAGCATTAGTCAGGTCATATTTTCATAACCTACTGTAGTCTTCAAGATATGGTATACTACCTAACACATCAACACAAACTTGCTCTTTCATTGGTCATACATAATGTATGCACTGCACTGCACATGCACTGGTGCAGTGACAAAGGGGTCGGCAGGGCGCCTCGGTCTGGGACACACATGTGATGACGTCACACTCAGCTGGGCAGACGATGAATGAAGAAAGAGAAGAGATGGAAAATTAACGAGGCCAAGAGCATTAGTCAGGTCATATCCTACTGTCGTCTTCAAGATATGGCCTCCTACCACATCAACACAAAGCTGCTCTTTCATTGGTCATACATAATGTATGCACTGCACTGCACATGCACTGGTGCAGTGACAAAGGGGTCGACAGCAGGACACCCACAT